TGGCGGCTGCTTCCGCCCAGCCTCCCTCCTCTGCGCCTCACTTGCCTTCGCTTCCCGAGGCCCTCCGGGACCTTTCTCTCTGGGAAAGGGTGAAACCAAACTAATAACCCTCCTCCGCCTCCCCATCCTGTTGAGGAGAGGAACTTTCCAAGGTGTGTCTGTAATAAAAGGGCCTCCAGAAAGCACTCATACCCTGGCAGCTGTGATATTGTCTAAGCAGAGGCTACCGTGTCGCTAGATGAGCTGTGCTTTACCTCCGTGGCTCTATAATAAGGAGTCAGAGGACATCAGAAAACACAAAAGAAGGAAAAACTTGATGGGAAAAGCCTTGGATCTTCCTGGCGACATGGGCTCAGCCTCCTGGGAGCTGTTGACCCAATCCAAGACACCGTCTCTCCACACGTCTCAGCTCCCAATGCCAAAAGTATGGGACAGCACTCGCCAGCGTCACGGGGGAAGGAGGTGGTCCGGATAAAACTCGTGAAGGGCGCACACGCCTCCAACCCACGGACGGCCCTGCAGGGGCAGGTGTTGCTGCCCTGGGAGTGTGACGTCCCCGACCCCAACACATGCCCTCCTGCAGACCCCCTGCCAGACACCGAATGCAGGAGAGCTGCAGAGCAGCGTGAAGCTGCTCCACCACAAGTGTCCCCAGGCCAGAGCACTGGGCCAGAGCACTGAATTTGCCAAATTCATCCATGCTCCTCTGTGGCAACTGAGCTATCAGTGTCAGCAAAACCAAGAATAGGTCCAAAAAAAAGAAAAAAAGTGACAAGATAGGAACATTTCAATCTCAAATGTTGTTTGTCTTTCATCTTCCTGTCAGTGTCAATCCCCTTCTCCCTCCGCTGCCAAGGCCAGCTTGCATTTAAGTGCTTACCAGGACACTCCTGCTAATCCCTGCACTGGCATAAGTCACAGGTTGGCACACACCAGCCATGCCGCAGTGCACAGATGCCTACAGTGGGCAACACTGCTAGGGGTCACCTGGTGTCATTTTCCCTGCAGAAACACAGCACGGAGAGACTGTGGAAGAGGAAACGAAAACCACATAGAGCCTTTGGTGCTGCCCATACAACTGATCTAGCATTCCTCGTTCCCTTTGTCTCTACTACTCTTTGAGTAGCTTCTCCTAAAAGTCAGTCTAGCTGTCACCCGCTCCTTGAGCCAACCTCACGTTCTCCAAGCTGAGGAGTCCGGACAGGCCAGGAGACGTGCAACCATCAGCATGGCAAGTCCCAGGGCTGTCACATGGCAGACGGCTGTGAGAACGTACAGGATCAGACTCCATGCTGCCTTTTCCAGAGAATAAAGAACAGGCCCAGGAAGTTTGCTCAGGGTTATTTGTGTTAGATAAGCTGCAAGGAAGGGATCTGTTTGCTCTCTTTGTTCTGGTCTCACACGCCGTGCTGGGTAGGGGTGTTAAACCCCTAAGCAATGCCAAATCAAACACTGCATCCTCACCCCTGAGGACCCGGCACTGCTGGAGACCAAGTTCATGGAGAAGAGGAAGGTGAGACAAAAGAAAAAGAGCAGAAAACAGTACAAAAGCCCACAACCCTTACTGTGATTGTCATGAGAAACTTGGAAATTGTCTCTATTCACGCAGAAAAGAGGTGGATTTTAAAAATGCATTAAAACAAGAAGAAAAAAAAGAAAAAAGCAGCCTGTTAGACCCAGATTTAGAAGACACAACACGGGCAGTCACCACGCGTGCTAATTAGCATGTTCCGGTACTCTGCAGCCTGCACCACCCTGTGAACACTAGCTGCGTGCTAAGCCGATGGAGGTAACGCCTTCGATTACCCATCAAGACCCTGCCTAAAAGGACAGGGCTCCAGCTGCAGAGGCTCCTCGCGCACAGAACTGCCGTTTAGGGCCTTTCACAGGTGCTCCCCTCGTTTCGCAGGGCGGCACCCGCAGCGCGCGCGCGCCCGG